GGGTCCGGGCTGGGGATTCGAACCCACCACCTTAGGTGTACGTGGCTGGCGCCTTAGCCGGTTGAGCTATAGGCGCCGAGCCAACCTTTTTTAATCTCATGGCACACTTGAACCTATAGTTAAACTTCTGCAGCACACTTAAATTATGTTGATCAAAGTATATATATACTGGGCAGTACCTGTGGCTCAGTGGGTAGGGTGCCCACACCATATACCGAGGGTGGCGGGTTCAAACCCTGCCCTGGCCAAACTGTAACAAAAAAATAGCTGGGTGTTGTGGCAGGCAGCGGTAGTCCCAGCTACTTGGGAGGCTGAGGTAGGAGAATTGCCTGGGCTCAGGAGTTGGAGGTTGCTGTGAGCTGTGTGATGTCACGGCACTCTAATGAGGGCGACAGAATAAGAATCTGTCTCTACCAAAAAAAAAATTTTTTATATATATATATATATTAACTGTACTTTAAACTTCTTTTGAAAATAATTTAATTAATGGTCTTTAAAAATTGGCTGGGCACAGTGGCTTATGCCTGTAATTCTAGCACTTAGGGAGACCAAGGAGGGTGGATCACCTAAGCTCAGGAGTTCAAGACCAGCTTGAGCAAGAGTGAGACCTCATCTCTCCTAAAAATAGAAAAATTAGCCAGGCATTGTGGCGGGCACCTGTAGTCAGTCCCAGCTACTTGGGAGGCTGAGTCAGGAGGACTGCTATAACTCAGGAGTTAGAGGTTGCTGGGAGTTATGACACCATGGCACTCTACCCAAGGTGACAGAGTGAGACTCTGTCTCAACAAAAAAATAAAAATTTTCATAGCACACCTAAAAAAATTTTCATGGCACACCATTTGAAAATCACTGATCTAGAGACTGTGGTCTGGGCCTGCTGGTAGCTGGGGAGAGGATCAGTGCTCATAGATTAAGTACTTCCCATACCAGGTATGAACCAAAGACTTTACACCCACTGGGAGGTGTAATGGGCATCTCAGATTCAGTCTGTTGGCTAATGACACCTCTATCTGTCCAGCTGTCAGACTAAAAGACTTGAACCTCTCTCTCTCACATCTACATACTATCCATCAGGATATCCTATTGTTTCTAGCCTTTGAAAGAGATCCAGAACTCAGCTAATCTCTCCCCTAAACCTCTAACTCTTTTGCCCCCACCCATGTCTTGTTCAACCTTGTGTCCTTCTTGGTTTCCCTGCTTCTACAGTCCCCCCCCACACACACACACACAATGTGAACACTTGAGTCCCTCCTCTACTCAGAGCACTCCCCTGGAAAGCCAACTTGCTCACCATGGCCCATAAGACCCCCCATCACTGCTCTGCCCTCATCCTTCCACTTTCCTCCTTGCCCTGATTCAGTCACACCTGCTCCTTGTTTCCTTAGTCTAAGTCAGTGGTTCTCAACTTGTGGGTCGTGACCCACAGGAATGTATTAAGGGGCTGCAGCATGAGGAAGGTTGAGAATCACTGGTCTAAGTAATATGTGAAATCTCATATAATCCAAGGAGTTGGTGGACTGTTACCCTTTTTTCTGCGCAGGGTCATTACAAGCCAGAAGGGAGGAGCACAAGAGTCTGCTGGGGGGAGGTAGAGAAGTGGGTGAGGACAGGACTCTGCCTTAGATCCCTCCTATAACAGCCACTCCCTGGGTTACTCCGAGCTGATGTCTGTAAAAATTTTCACAGCACAAAGATCAGGGCCTGCTTCTGTGCACAGTTACTGCATGTGTAAGCAAGTGAAGAACCAAGGACATAAAGAGCAACATGTGAAGGGCCAAGCTGGCCATCACTCTGCCTTTATGTTAATTGTAAAAAGAGGCCCTATCTCTCAGATACTTTTCTTCCTCCTGCAAAAAAGTATCAGAAGGAACTTACAAGCTTATGTACAACCTAACAACTGTGAAGGCAGCCCATTCTGAAATCAGAGCTGATGAAAGTGAGTGGGTGGGTAGAGGAAGAAAATTAAGATACATTAGTGGGCTTCCCTCCCACAACCAACCCTTTTGCTTGTTTGTTTAGCAGGCCCTGGCCAGGTTCGAACTCACCCCCCACCCCACCCCACCCCGTGCACACTCCCAATGCGCTCTAACCATTGAGATACTGGCGCCCAACCAACCAACCCTTTTGAAATCCGACCGACCTCACCCTCCCCTCCCAGGGCCCAGTACCCCAAGCTCCAATACTTGCATACTGGCTCCCTCCTGCGTGTTCTGGAAGCAGTGCCCGGAAGAACCCAGAACCTGAGAGTAGAGGAGGTGATGATCCCAACGGTCGGTCTTTCCCATTATCCTGTGTCCCTCCCCTCCAGGCCTGGACCTTACTTACAGTGATCATCATGGAAGACTTCATGAGATGATGTCCACTAATGCCCTGCTCATAGCAAACCTTTTTATCCTTGAGTGTAATCTGGAGAGGCAGAAAAATGAAGTGGTGAATGAGTTTGCCCAAGGACCCAAGGACTTCAAATAACCCAAAGCTGGGGCAGGTAGTAGAGACTGGTAGGAGAACGCAGACTTCTACTTCCTACTCAGAAGAATCAGACGAACAACTCGTGTTAGCCCTGCTCCCACCTTGGTACCACACTCCCCGCCAGGCCTCACCGAGAATAGCACCGACTGGCGATTAACAAGGACCTCCTGTTTCACCACGGCCTCCATGCAGTGGGGGTCAGCCAGCACCACGCTCACGTCCACCTTGCTCTGCAGTTGGTTGGCAGCACCTGCCCGGGGTAGCGGGAGGGTCGAGGCATCGCCCTCTGGACTCCGCCCCAGCGCAGCCCTCGCCCCGCCCCTCGGCCGCGCTCGGGCCCCGCCCACAGACCCAGAACAGCCCGCGTCTGGAACGAGTAGCCGCGCGCGGTCAGGAAGATAGAGAAGCCGTATTGAGTGCCCTTGTCCAGGAAAATGCGCTCGGGAAGCCTGGACTCGGGCTCGAGATTGTAGATCTTTTCATAGCTGTCCATATCGATGTGCACGCTACCCGCGCTCCGCCAGTTGCTCGCCAGGTAGAAATAGTAATCCTAGGGGGCAGGATGTGCCGGGCAAAGTCAGCGCTAGAGGAGACGGTGAGGGGTGTCTCCGCGCAGTTCGTTCCCAGATTCCCAAGCCTCTCCACGTACTTGGTCCTGTTTCTTGTTCTTCCACCAGCGCCAGGTGGGGTCGTGCACCGGGTCCGCATACGGCTGCAGGGACCACCGGGCACAGTGAGTGGATGGGGGAGAGGAACAGCACCCAGACCCCTTCCTAACCTCAGTTCCAGCCCCTAACCCCAAACGGACCCCTTTCCACACCCCCAAAGCTGGTCTTTGTGGGCGAGGCCCCGCTTCCCCCCCGCCCCAACCCCTCCCCCTACTTTTCATCCGTTCAGCCTCCCGGGCCACAGGCGTGGCGCTCTACGCCAGGTCCCCGCAGTCCCATCTCAGAGAAGACCCGGCCCAGGATGGCCCACGCACCCTCGCCGCAAAGAGCCCACCTTGTCGTACTTGGAGTGCAGCCAGAGCAGGTAGTAGACGAGGCCCTGGTAGACAGCTAGCGAGTTCTCGGTGTGGAAGCCGGTGGCGTATAAGACTTGTGGCGGCCGCGCCCGGTAGCGCTCCTGGCGTGTGTATCTCTGCGGCCCTGGCAGTCTCTGCAGGTGCATCGCCGTGAAGGGGCAGGGGTTGGTGAAGGACAGCGTCAAGTGGCTCCTGAACAGTGGCAGTGGGGAGGTCGGTAAGACTGTTTCCCACCTCTGTGCTGCGACTTCCGAAATCTAATTCTCCTCGGCTTAAGCCCCAGGTACCCAGAGTCCTCTGGACACATCTCCTTGGACGTTCTTCGATCCCTCAGACCAGAGTCCCCCCCACCTCCTCGGGCAATCCCCACTTGCCTGTCTACTTGACCTCCTAAGCTCTGTTTGTTCCGCCTCCCTCTCTGCTTCCCTCTTTCCACCTCCAGCGCCGTGTCCCTCTTGGTACCCCCACTCCCACCTCCAGCTTCCTCCCCAGGTTGCTCTGATCCACCCTTTGCAGGTGACCAGAAAAATAACTGAACACAGTGAATTCAGACGCTGTAGTCTCTCCCTTTCATCTCATTCCTGGCTCCCCAGGACCCTTAAGATGAAGTCCAAATTCCTATAACTACCAGGCTCACGTTGGCCCTGTTCCCATCACCACTGCACTATTTCTGCAACAGTACTTTCTTTTAGTTCTTCAACCCCAATCTCCTTTCCTCTTCAGGGCTTTTGCACAAGTGGTTCCCTGAGAATGTTTGGAACATTTTTCCCCACTTCATCACCTGGCTAATTCTCCCTTGCCTTTCATGCACCTCCTTGAAGCCCTCCCTGATACATCCACCCCCCAGGCTGAGTCATTCTCATACTGTGAGCTTCCATAGGTGCTAAGTTCCCCGCATCACAGCCTTGAGGTTGTCATTGGGGTTGGCTCAGCCCCTTTCCCCCAGGAATGGCAGCTGCATGAGGACAGTTCCTGGTGTCCTCAGACTACTGCTAAGGTCCTGTATCTTCTCACCCCTGCCGCTCCATGTCATACTGGGAGTGTATCTGGTACATCAGAAGCTTCTCCACAGGCAGAAGCCTCTTGACCAGCTTGCCCTCCTGGTTATTGATGAGGTATGCCAGCTGTAGGGGGAAGGCAGGACCAGGTGAGCTGGTGTCAGCCATCCTGTGGCACTCCAATCTCCCCTCACAGCCCTCTCCCAGCACCTGATACAGTTCATTGTCTTCATAGAAGAGGGTCACCATGGTCTCATTGTGTGAGTAGAAAGAGGACTGGTGCATCGCCTGGAGGCTGGTATGGATCCCCCATCCCTTGGAAGGGAACAGTTTGTACACCTTGTAGCTGCCTTCCAGGAGGTACCAGATCTGAAGGTACAACAGCCGGATGTGTGTAAGAGCTGCCAGCATCTGATCCCACCTCTCCCACTGCCCAGTGTCATGGCCCCACTGTTTGAGAGGTCATGCTTGGGAGCTCACTTCCAGCTGGGATGAGCCCCCATTCCTCTCTCTACTTCCCAGACCCCAGCTCCCTCTGATTGCAGCCCCTACATCCATGTTTCAGTCTGCTTGAGTTTCTGTTACTTGCAGCCTAAGCATTCCTGATATATACAATCCCTAAAAGCCAGGTTTCCTAGGGCTGAGACCTCTTTTTTTCTTCTTCTTCTCTTTCTTTGCAGCCTTCAGGGTCTCATCATTCTGTTGGCCTCAGTTTCCCATCTCTGCACTGTTGCCCACCCCCACACACATCTGAAAGGGACCTCACCTCCCTTTGCTGAGCTCCAACCTGGGAGATCCCCCCTAGACTCCATGACATTCCTTTAAGTGGCCTCTTTCATGCTGCCTGCCTGACACACATACACAACACACCCACACTAGGTCAGTCCACTCCTCAGAGTTACTATATGTAGTTTACCCCACTATAGCCCTGGGCACGCTGAACTGTCACTGTCTGGAAGTCTGCCTTCCTCACTGGCCTGTGACCTTGTGAGGATGGGCCCAGGGCTGATTCAGTCACCATGGAACCCCGCAGCACTGGATCAGGCATACAGTAAGTACTCAAATAAATGCAGAATGGAATGTATAAGAGCCTTCTCTGGAAATCAAATTGTTTTGCTGTGTGACTTTGGAAAAAGACACTTATCCTCTCTGAATTCCAGGGTTCTCAGCTATAAATGGAGCTGCTGCTGCCCTTCCCCAGAGTCCTTTAGAGTGTTCCCTTCCTTTAGCCCCTTTTCCCTGATTGGGGGAGAAGGGAGGTCCCTGGGGTTTCAGGATGGAGAGAGAGGGAATAGGGGAAGGGAAGGATAGCCCACCTCCTCAGTCTCTGTGACAATAGCCATGTCTCCATGGAATGATCTCACCAGGTATTTGATGGACAGTTCCATAGGGAAGTCTGCAAGGTAAATGTAGTTCTTCTTGTTAGAGCTGCAGGGGCAGAGATGGAGAGTTAGTGATACCAGAATAGCTGGTTGTCCTGGATACCTGCTTCCCCCAGCTTCAGGCCTAACACAACCCAGGAAGCATTTACACAGTTTCCCCACTAGCCTTGTGAGAACATACAAAGGGAGCCCAGAATCCTCACTCCCAGCCCCCACCCTAACCCTCTGGGTGACCTTCTGCCCCTAGAGTTTTCACCTCCCCATCTGTTATACAGGAATATCTGGCCAACCTGACAGTTTCCCCACCACTGTCGAAGGTGGCTCAAGGGTTCCTAGGTTCCTCAGTGATAAAAGGGTGGCTGGGAGGGAAGGATCCTAAATTGTCCTCAGAAAATGCTCTTCAATTGCTTACATAGGTTGGGTTCTTACATAAGGTTTCATTTTAAGAAAGGGCTCCCATAACTTTAGAATATTGGCTTCCCCCATCCCAGCTCTGACTATCTCAACCCATGTTTTCCCCATCAGAGTCCTGATAACTTCAAGACTTGGGCAGTCTTGAAGGTTTGGTGACTTCAGAAAGGGCCACCACCCCAGAGGTGCTGGGGAGGCATAATATACCTGGGTGGCCAGGGCAGGGTGGGGAGACCCACCTCTGCAGGAGGAAGTTGCCCCAGATGAACAGCAGGTTGTTGTACGGGTTAAAGAACATGCCCTTGGGTATCATTGGAGTGCTGGTGTAAGACTCTGTCCCTAGGATCATCAGGAACTCCAAGCCACGAGCTAACCAGGGCAGAAGAAGAGAGAACACAGTAGTGAGATGGGATCATCTGGGCCCTCCTGGCCCATGCCTACCTTTGAGACCACCTCTGCCTTCCCATCCTACCATCAGGGATGAATTCTGGGATTCTGTACAGCTGTGTCAGTGCATCATTATCTACAGGTAGAGAGAACACAGAACAATCTCCTGAGGCCCTGACCATTCAAAATTTGAAGCTGGGGTAAGATATCTACTTTCCAACTCCCCATAAAACCTTCCAATGGCTTCGCATTACTAGCTCTTAATTTCTGTAAGAGATTTTTATTTTATTTTATTTTTTTATTTCAGGTTAATGTGAAGGTACAGACAACTAGATTACAATATTTGTATTTCTTAGGTAGAGCCCTCTTGTATGCCTCTGAGAAGATTATAGTTCCAGCAGAGCAAAGGACTTGTTTCCTCTGACTTATTGGCTGGGGGATTCTGTGCAGTGCACAACCTGCACAACTGTGTATGGTAGCCGTGTTCTCACTATAGGTAAAATAAAATCTTATTGTAAGGCTCAAGGACCTTCCAGATATGACTTCTGCTCACCTCCCTAATCTCACTCCCTCCTTACTCCCCTCTGTTCCAGACACAATAGCTTCCTTTCAGTTTCTCTAGCCCACCAGTACTTTACCCAGTTTTTACTGTGACACAGCAATATTTCCCTCCCTCTGCCTGCTGGGCACAAATCCCAAAGATGGGCACACAGTCCCCAGTCTGAGCCTATGCCTCTTTGCCCCGAGCCCCTTGGCATTACTATTTTTCTTTGTGCTGTAGCCGACCACCTGGAAGTAAGTCCCAGCAGTATTGTGTTTACTCTCCACCAGAAGCAGTAGGTAATAGTCATCTGCGAGGTATTCCGCCCAGGTTATGGAGCAACTGTCAACTAAGAGGGGAAGGGGGAAAGTGCAGAGCAGCCTCAGGGCCCAGTGGCCTTAGTCCTGTGACTGCCATGCTCCTCCCCATAACTCTCCATCCCTCCTGAAGACGTTACCCATCCTGTGACCCTTCTTACCCTTCCCTGCTCTCCCATACCCTCAATTCCCCCACCCTCCTCTGCAAACCCATCTAGGAGATAAGTACCTCCAATGTGTTCGCACACGGACCTTTCCCTGGGCAGCATTTCAAAGGACACACTGCCATCTGCAGAGCAAGGCAGATTCATGCTCAAGTCATTCCCGTCCTATCCCTATCAAAGTGTGACACCCTGCTAAACTAACTCCCTCACTGTCCCCCTCATGCCTCCTCAACCTTTAGTCCTTGGAATTTCAAGGGGCAGATCACCCTCTGGCCTCTTGTCATTCACAGCTAGCCTATCAGAGTACATCTGTCTCTGGTCACACTGATTGGCTCAAGTCTGGGCACGTGACCCACAGTGGTATCAATCAGAATGTATCCTGGAAAAGAACCTGCTCTCATCCTCTTGGGGTAACTCAAACTGGTAGGTGACATGAGCCCTAAGATCTTAGGGGCCATCATTAATCCCCATGGAGGTGTATCTATCTGAAAATAGCACTCAACACATCGCTAGCACTATTCTACGACCTTTATATATACCTATATATACCAACTTGTTTAATCTTTCTATTAACTCAACAAAGGAGATACAGAGATACTAGTACTATCATTAATCCATCTCACAAATGATTAAAATGAGATCACAGAGGTCAAATCACCAGTCCAAAGGTACACAGCAAGAGTGTGATCAAGCAGTTTCCCTCCAGGACCTGTGCTATAATGAATGATTAAGCTACATTACCTGGCCGAGAGATAGGGTCCTGATGATACCTTTTGAGCCCCTGGATCCAGCCATGCCTAAAGTTGGCCCCTAATCTTTTCATTTATATAAATCCACAAATTTTTTGTGCTTAAATGATTTTGAATTTGGCTTATGCCTTTTGAAATCTAGCACATCATGAAAGAAACATAATGCACCCCTAAACCCTAACCCTACAAATGCATAACTCACCACCCCTCAAAGCCTGGGATACTTCCCAAGGGCATATGGTGAGGGGTGAGGGCCTAAGTTCAGAATTCTTGGAGATAACAGAGTATGGAGGGGTGTCTTGGGCTGCCAGAGGTCCCCACTCTTACCTCTGATGGTCCCAAAGTGGAGATAACCCTCGTTCTTGCCAGTGGTAAGGGCCAGTACATACTCAGTGCCATTGCTATGGAAATACACGGGGCACAATTTCTTGATGCATTCAGAGGCCAGGACACGAACCCAGCTGCCTAGGGAGGCCAGCATGGGGCTTCAGGCCCAGGTGGTTGGACCTGGGGCCTGTGCCCCTCACCCACATTTCCCTGGCCTTAGGGAGCCTGTCATCTGTCCTCTCTTGCTGAAGCACCTATTCAGGGGCCCTTGGCAGAGGGCACAAGATGCTTTTGAAGAAATTCTTCTTGCTCACACTCTGTCCATGAAGTTCAGATTGGGGTGATCCCTCCTTTGAGCTCTGCTTGCTGGAGCAATTAGTTTTGAGCTGGGCATGTGACCAAGCTGGGCAAATTAGAGACAATTCCAGCTTGAACCACCAACAAAGAGATGTTCTTTCCTGGGCTACTGAGGGGCATAAAAGTCTGCCATTTCTGGGTGGGAGTGGGAGTCACCATGGCTGCCTCATGGAAGTGACTATCTAACAGTGACAGTGAGCTCCTGGATCCAACTGTTCCTAAGACCATCTGTTCCTGGACTTTTCAGCTACATAAGCCTGTAACATCCCTTTTCTTTGGCTTCAGTCCATTTTAATTTGGTTCCTCCCACTGATAAAGTGCCATAAGTGAGAAAGGGAGAAAATGAAGCTACTGGGAACATGCATTAGCTAATGAAATGAAAGTTACACTATAATTTTCAGCGACCCTATAAGCTGACAATGCTCATTTACATGGGGAAGAAACAGAGAAGCAATAGGAAGGTTTTGGTGACTTTTTTCTTTTTTTTTTTTTTTGCCAGGGCTGGGTTTGAACCCACCACCTCTGGCATGTGGGGCCGGCGCCCTACTTCTTGAGCCACAGGTGCTGCCCTTTTTTGTTTGTTTTTGGGACAGAGTCTTACTCTGTCATGCCTAGGGTAGAGTACCATGGTATTGTCATAGCTCCCAGCAGCCTCAAGTTCCTGGGCTCAAGCAATTCTCCTGCCTTAACCTGTGGCCTGCCACAATGCCCAGCTAGTTTTTCTATTTTTAGTAGAGTTGGGGTCTTGCTCTTGCTCTGGTTGGTCTTGAACTCCTTTTTTTTTTTTTTTAAGTTTTGGCCAGGGCTGGGTTTGAACCCACCACCTCCGGCATATGAGGCCAGCACCCTACTCCTTTGAGCCACAGGTGCTGCCCTGGTCTTGAACTCCTAAGCTCAAGCAATCCACCCACTTTGGTTTCCCAGAGTGCTAGGATTACAGATGCGAGCCACTGGGCCTGGCCAGATTTTGGAATTATTTAAAGATAAGGCTGAAATCAACAGTGCTTTTCCTCTGTGATTGGTCTCCTTTGTGGCTTTGCCTCTTCAACAGATGAACAGCCCATCTCTGTTTCTCTCGCTATCCTCTTGCTCTGCCTTTCTCTCTGACTCACTATGCCTCTCTTATCCTCCAACTTTCTTTCTCCATCTGCATCTCTCTTGGCATGTCTTCCTGCCACTCTGTGCACCTGCACTTGTGTCTGTGTTTCTCTGCTCCCTGCCTTCACTCGTAACCCTCTTCCCGCAAACGGCTCACAATTCCTAGGAAGGTCTGCGTGGAAGCTTCAAGCCAGCACATAGAGGACAGACGAAGGCCCTTGCAGGGTGGGCAGTGGTGATCTGGACCTTATCAGGTCTCTGCCCACCTCCCTAACCCATGCCAATTCCAATCCCAGGTGTTTCCAGTGGATAGGTTCACCGCTGTGCCCTCCCCCAGGCTTGGGCAGGCCACAGCCCCTCACCGCTGCCTCGATTGCTCTCGTGGAGTATGGGATAGGTGCCTGTAAAATAGTAGACAAGCTGGTTCTGCCGAATGAAGAGGGTAGCCTCAGTGGCGATGGCGTCGTAGATGGTGGCTGAGAAGCCAGAATGGGGGCAGTAGAAGGAGCCTACCCAGCAACTGTCAATGCTCAACTGCAGGGAAGCAGAGGCTAATGGTGAGCAAGTGGCCTTGGCCTTGGCCCCTGTGTCCTGCTTTGGAGGTTGGCTCCTACTCTAATGACTGCTCAGGAAGGGTACACACAGCGGCTCTAAGGCAGTCTCCCTGCAATAACACTTTGGTGGCCAAACTTCCCCAATATGGGCCAGGGAAGTAGATGTCACTGGCTTGAGCCAATTCAGGTTCTGTGAGCCCTCTCAGCAGTCTCTGTGCCCCTGGCAAATATCCCATGCCTGGCCTAACACACATCTTAAGAGTCTTATTCTACTGTGAATACACTGAGCTGACAAGGTTAACACTACTTGAATCCATTGTCCAATTCTAGTGCTAATTACATCATGAACAGTGGGGAAACCCTAAAAGACTGAATGTAAATCTAATCAAGTTTCTAGACCTATCAGTTCATAAGCCATATGAGATGTTATAGACTGAATTCTGTCCCCCTCAAATTCATATGTTGAACCCCTAATGTAATTGTACTTGGACACAAGACCCCTGAAGACCTGATTACGGTTAAATGATTTCATAAGGGTAGAGCTCTGATCCATAGGTCTGGTGTCCCTCTAAGAAGGGGAAGAGACACTAGGGTGCGTGCTCTCTCTCTCCACTCTGCACAGAGAAAGGCCATGTGAGAGTACACCTGTCCATAAGCCCAGGACAAAGGCTTCACCAGAAACCAAGCACATGGGCACCATGCTCTTGTACTTGCAGCCTCCAAAACTCTGAGAACACAAATTTCCATGGTCTAAGCCACCCAATCTGGGGTATTTTGTTGTGGCAGCCTGAGCACTAATATGTGGAGACAGAGGAACAACCAAATTCTACAGGACATAAAAACCAATTTTCTCTTCTCTCTCTCTCTTTTTTTTTTTTTAAAGACAGAGTCTCTGGCTCGGCGCCTGTGGCTCAAGCGGCTAAGGCGCCAGCCACATACACCTAAGGTGGCGAGTTCAAATCCCCAGCCCGGACCCGCCAAACAACAATGACGGCTGCAACCAAAAAATAGCCGGGCATTGTGGCCGGCGCCTGTGGTCCCAGCTACTTGGGAGGCGGAGGCAGGAGACTCGCTTGAGCCCAGGAGTTGGAGGTTGCTGTGAGCTGTAATGCCATGGCACTCTACCCAGGGGGACAGCTTGAGGCTCTGTCTCAAAAAAAAAAAAAAAAAAAAAAGACAGAGTCTCTGTCAGAGACTCAGAGTGCTGTGGCCCCAGCCTAGCTCACAGGAAACTCAAAACACCTGGGCTCAAGTGATCCTCCTGCCTCAGCCTCCCAAGTAGCTGGGACTACAGGCTCCTGCCATCACCTCCAGCGAATTTTCCTATGTTTAGTAGAAATGCGGTCCTACTCTTGCTCAGGTTAATCTGAAACTCCTGACCTCAAGTGATTCTCCCACCTTGGCTTCCCAGAGTGTTCCCAGGTATGAGCTAGCCACCTGCCAAAACCTTATTTTCTTAAACAAATTGCCTAAAACGGTGATGGAGGGAGCAGACATACAAGTGAAAAGTCTTAGGTCAACAACCAAATGCAATATATCAGATCCTGATTCAAACAAATCAATTTCTGTTTGTTTTTTGTTTTTTTTTTTTTTTGTAGAGACAGAGTCTCACTTTATGGCCCTTGGTAGAGTGCCATGGCGTCACAGTGCTCATAGTAACCTCCAACTCCTGGGCTTAGGCGATTCTCTTGCCTCAGCCTCCCGAGTAGCTGGCACTATAGGCATCCACCACAATGCCCAGCTATTTTTTTGTTGCAGTTTGGCCAGGGCTGGGTTTGAACCCGCTACCCTTGGCATATGGGGCCAGCGCCCCACCTACTGAGCCACAGGCATCGCCCCAAACAAATCAAAGGCATTTTTAGATAATTAGAGAAAATTAATAATGACCTAGCATTAGACATTAAGGGATTATTACTGATTTTGGAGGGTATTTTAATGGCATTGTGATTTTTTTTTTTTTGGTTTTGTCTTTGTTTTATTTTGTTCTGAGACAGAGTTTCACTCTGTTGCCTAGACTACAGCTCAGTGACATCAGCCTAGCTCAATAGGTCTGGCCTGTAGGGTTTTTTTGGGGAGGGGGTTTGAGACAGAGTCTCACTTTGTCACCCTCAATAGAGTGCCCTAGTATCATAGCTCACAGCAACTTCAAACTATCACCATGCCCAGCCTTGTGGTTTTATTTTTTTTAAGCCCTCATGTGTTAAGAGTGTTAGAAATACTTCCTCAAGTATTTTAATAATTTACAGGTCAATAGTATGATGGCTGGGACTTTTTTTTTTAATATTTCAAAAGATGGCGGGGTGGCTCACGCCTGTAATCCTACCACTCTGAGAGGCCAAGGTGGGTAGATTGCCTAAGCTCAGGAGTTCCAGACCAGCCTGAGCAAGAGTGAGACTCCCATCTCTAAAAATAGCCAGGTATTGTGGTGGGTGCCTATAGTCTCAGCTACTTGGGAGGCTGAAGCAAGGGGATCACTTAAGCCCAAGAGTTTGAGATTGCTGTGAGCTACGACGCCATGGCACTCTACTGAGGGCAACAAAGTGAGACTCTGTCTCAAATAAATAAATAAAAATAAAATAAAATATTTCAAAAGAAAAATAGTAGAACAACAACAACAAAAGGCAAAATAGTGATAATTATTGAAGCTGGGTTCATTATATTCTCTCTCATTTTGTGACTGATTGACATTTTCCACAAAAAGGCTGGGCACAGTGGCTCACATCTATAACACTAGCACTCTGGGAGGCTGAGGCAAGAGGATCACTTGAAGTGAGGAATTAGAGATCAGACTGAATAAGAGAGAGACCCTGTCTCTACTAAAAATAGAAAAATTAGCTAGGTGTTGTGGCACAAGCTGATGAGTTTAAGGTTGATGTGAGCCATGAGGCCACAACACTCTACTGAGGGCTACAAAATGAGACTCTGTCTTAATAAAAAAAAAAAAAAGAATCCTAGCACTCTAGGAGGCTGAGTCGGGTGGATTGTTTGAGCTCACTGGTTCAAGACCAGCCTGAGCTACAGTGAGACTCACTCCCTGTCTCTAAAAAAATAAAAAAAATAGCTGGGCATTGTGGCAGGGGCCTGTAGTCTCAGCTACTTGAGAGGCTGAGGCAAGAGAATTGCTTGAGCCCAGGAGTTTGAGGTTGCTGTGAGCTGTGACACCATGGCACACTACCCAGGGTGATGAAGTGAAAATCTGTCTCAAAAAAAAAAAAAAATTTTTTTTTTTCCAGGGGTGAGCACAGCCTGAGCCACACCAAATGAAAGGAATTTTGTTACTTTGGAGCTTTGAAAGGGAATGGAAGGGGAAAAGTCTTTCCCACTCAACATGGGCCTGAGAAGACGTAGACTCTGCAATCTTCAGTTCCAGAGGGCAGAACATTTTTGAGCATAAAGTTGATACAGAGGAATTAGGTCCAAGAAACTCAGTCTTAGTGACATTGTTTGAAATCCTGGGTCAAGCTGAGCCTGAAGTCCTAAATTTTTTGGTTACCAGCAAGTATCCTTTTCTACTTTTGGCAGATGGCTAGTTAAGCTCCTGAATCCATCTTCTTCATATTATTTGGTGATTGAGTTTAGCTGGGCATGTACCACCTAGACTCCCTCATAGTTGGTTCAAGCCAAGTGACTGATTTCTCACTAATGGAATGTGAGTTGAAGTGAAACTCACTTGAGATAAAATGGCTTGCCTTGCACTTCTATGCTTTCCCTTTCCCACTGGCTAGAATATGAGCATGGGTATGACCTAGCTGCCATCAGACAGAAGTCGACACCCAGGGTCTAAGTGTTTCTTACCTCTGGACTGTCAAGAGAATGAGTGATAGTGTCTGCTCATCCATTCCCTTTGAGGATCTCTTTGTTACAGCATCTAAATCTGAACCCTGATCAACACAGGCTGCAGAGATGCAGGTAGCTAAGAGTACGGGGAGTGTTGTCTGAGGTTCCTGGGAGCAGGCCGGAAGGGAATGAGGAAGAGAGAGGAAAAAGTGAGATGGGGTCATCAGGGAGAAATCCTTATGAGTAAAGAACAAGAATAAATAGGGTTTTATTTTGGAGTGATAGAAATTTTTTAGAACTAGGTGGTGGTAGTTGTAGCACAATATTGTGAATGAAGTGAATTGTTCACTTTAAAATGATTAAATTTGTGAAATTTGGCTCAATAAATTTAAAAAAAGGAAACAAGAATAAAGATACTTAAAGTTCTGGGCAGCACCTGTGGCTCAATGAGTAGGATGCCAGCCCCATATACAAGGTCCCATGTACCAAGGATGGCAGGTTCCAACCCAGCCCTGGCAATAAAAAAAAATAACTGGGCATTGTGGCAGGTGCCTGTAGTCCCAGCTACTTGGGAGGCTGAGGCAAGAGAATCACCTGAGCCCAATAGCTGGAGGTTGCTGTGAGTTGTGACGTCACAGCACTCTACCAAGGGCAACAAAGTGAGACTGTCTCTAAAAAAAAAAAAAAGAAAAGAAAAGAAAAGAAAGGGCAGCACTTGTGGCTCAATGAGGAGGGTGCTGGCCCCATATACTGAGGGTGGCAGGTTCAAATCCAGCCCTGGTGGAACTGCAACAAAAAAATAGCTGGGCGTTGTGACGGGCGCCTGTAGACTCGGGAGGCTGAGGCAAGAGAATCACCTATTGCTGTGTGATGCCATGGCACTCTACCGAGGACAATAAAATGAGACTCTGTCTCTAAAAAACAAAACAAAACAACAACAACAAAAACTGGCTTGGTGCCTATAGCTCAAACAGCTAAGGTGCCAGCCACATATACCAGAGCTGGTGGGTTCAAATCCAGCCTGGGCCTGCCAAACAACATACAACCAAACAATAGCCAGGCATTGTGGCAGGCACCTCTAGTCCCAGCTACTTGGGAAGGTAAGGCAAGAGAATTGCTTAAGCCCAGGAGTTGGAGGTTGCTTTCAGCTGTGATGCCACAGCACTCTACCCAGGGTGACAGCTTAAGGCTCTGTCTCAAAAAAACAAAAACAAAAACAAAACAAACAAACCTGAAGTTCAAATTGAATTTATTTTCATTCCTGTGATGGAAACCCCTTCCTCTGCCTCTAAATATCTTCAGCAGAATCCAAATCAACAATACATTCCTTGTGGCTGTGCTTGGGTCAGAAGTTTATGAAAATTGAACAATGTTTGAATAGAGTTGACCCAGAGCAGAGAATGCTGACACAGGACAGGAAGATGACCCCATAAACCGAACAAATTCAGTAGAAACAGAAATTCAGAGCCAGAGGGGATCAGGAGAACATTAACTTACATGAGGCTCTCAGAAATTGTAAGTGGGGCTTTTTACCCTGATGGAGGAGGTCAAGGCAATCTTATGGGGTTGTTGTGCTATACAGTTGTTATCTGGGACACAAGAACCAGCATCTTCTCCTTCATCTGATGGCAAAGCTATCCTGATTTCACTCTGGATGAATCGTCTTTTCTGACTCTTGACTCAGGTGTCCTCCTTATTAGAATAGAGAGGTTGACCTATATGCTGAGCCCCTGGGCATGTTCTATTAGCTTGGGAGATGTGACCCAACGTGGAACAATCAGGACCAAGAATATAAATTTCAGAATTTTTAAAAAGCTATTTGGGGGGCAGTGACTCACACCTGTAATCCTAGTACTCTGGGAGGCCAAGGAGGTGGGTGGCCAGGAGTTCAAGACCGGACGAAGCAGGATCAAGAACCCGCCTCTATTAAAAAAAGAAAAATTAGCCAGACATTGTGGCAGACACCTGTAGTCTCAGCTACTCAAGAGGCTGAGGCAAAAGAATGACTTGAGCCCAAGAGTTTAGGGTTGCTGGGAGCTATTATGTCACTGCTCTCTATCCAGGGCAAAAAAAAAATGAGACTCTGTCTCTAAATAAATAAATAAATAAATAAAGCTATTTGAGAAATAGATGCTTCCTTTTTCTGCCTTGGGAGTTGGGATGATATAAACCACTTTGAGAATGAGGCTAATTCAATAAAAAGTGGAACTGAAAGTTGAAGTCCTTGTTTGAGCCCCAAATCAAGGCTAAAGCCTGATGTGTGCCTCAGTGTACCTGCTAAGTCCACAGCTCTGCGTAAGACAACCTAGCTTGGAGTTCTGCCTGCAGCTGCACTAAGGCAAACATGTTTCTGTCCCTGAAAGCAACAGAATCTTACCTCAGACACCTCTCCCCATCCTGGGTAACACAAGCTCTCAAAACCTGATGTGAAACCCTTTAGGTCAGATATATATCACTATTCAGAATTTTCCAGAGTTTAGAAGGTACTATACCACTCATTATGGAAACCATTAACTTATGTCATCTTCACAATGTTTCTATGAACATTTTATTCCCATTTTACAGAGGGAATCTGAGACCCAGGAGATAAAGTGACTTGACCAAGGTGATGTAGCCAGGAGGTGGGAGAACCAGGATTTGAACCCAGATCCTCTAGCTGCATGTGTTTTTTCTTCCCACTACGTGTATCTGCCTCTCATGGGGACTGGTGAGTCTTTGGGGACCCCTTCTATATCCCCAGACCCACTATCTGCCCTGTACCACTCACCTCCACGACAGAAAAGTCCTTGAAGCTAGTGTCAGTCATCAGGACGCGCTTCTCATTGGGAATGCCACCTAGGATAAGCACTGGTGACACGTCCACAGTGTACCACAGAGGCCTGGATGGGACGTTCACAAACGCCCTGGGACTCACGTCGGAGATCTGCCAGGGAGGTACAGGAGGGCTGCTCCACACTCCCTGCCACCTGCCCACAGCTCCATCTCACTTTGATCAAAGTCCCTGTCCTGACCAAAAGTGACCCATATAATTCGTCCCCATCATTTCCCTGACCTCATTCCTCACCCCTCTCTTACTTGTTCTCTCCAGCCACACAGGTTCCCTCGCTCCTCCTCAGAGGTACATACCCACCTCAGGGCCTCTATACTGGCTTTTCCCTTTGTATGAAATGCTCTTCCCCCAGTATTCAAATGATTCCCTCCTCTCCCTGTAGGCTTTACTCAAAGTCAACTTTCTCAACTAGGCCTTTCTTCACCATTCTATTAGACCAGTGATTTTCTTTTTCTTTTCTTTTTTTTGAGACGGAGCCTCAAGCTATCCCCCTGGGTAGAGTGCCATGGCATCATGCTCACAGCAACCTCCAACTCCTGGGCTCAAGCGAGTCTCCTGCCTCAGCCTCCCAAGTAGCTGGGACTACAGGTGCCCGCCACAATGCCTGGCCATTTTTTGGTTGCAGCCATCATTGTTGTTTGGCAGGCCCGGGCTGGGGATTCGAACCCACCACCTTAGGTGTATGTGGCTGGCGCCTTAGCCGTTTGAGCCACAGGCACCGAGCCTAGACCAGTGATTTTCAAGCCATCCTCTTGCCTTAGCCTGCCTACTATCTGGAACTACAGGCACCTGGTAAAATGCTTGACTATTGGCTCGGCGCCTGTGGCTCAAGTGGCTAAGGCGCCAGCCACATACACCTAAGGTGGTAGGTTCGAATCCAGCCTGGGCCCACCAAACAACAATGATGGCTGCAACCAAAAAATAGCCAGGCGTTGTGGCAGGCACCTATGGTCTCAGCTACCTGGGAGGCTGAGGCAGGAGACTCACTTGAGCCCAGGAGTTGGAGGTTGCTGTGAGCTGTGATGCCAGGGCACTCTACCCAGGAGAACAGCTTGAGGCTCTGTCTCAAAAAAAAAAAAAAATGCTCGGTTATTTTTTAAGATGCAGGGTCTCACTCTTGCTCAGGCTGGTCTTGAACTCCTGAGCTCAAGCAATTCACCAACCTCAGCCTCCCAGAGTGCTGGGATTACAAGTGTGAACCACCAAGCCCAGCCAGTTTTCTCCTCTTTAAAATGGGCAAGTGAGGGCTGTGAGCGGTGGCTCAGGCCTGTAATCCTAGCACTCTGGGAGGCTGAGGTGGGTGGATTGCTTGAGCTCAGGAGTTTGAGATCAGCCTGAGCAAGAGTAAGAACCTGTTTTTACTAAAAGTAGAAAAACTGAGGCAAGAGGATCACTTGAGTCTAAGAACTTAAGGTTGTTATGAGCTATAATGCCATGGCACTCTAATCAGGGTACCAGAATGAGACTGTCTCAATCAATCAATCAATCAATAAAATGGGCACATGAGATATGTGCCTGCAGTATAGTTGAAAACATGAAATGAGGTGGTGCCTCAGTGGGTAGGGCACCAGCCCCATATACTGAGGGTGGTGGGTTTGAACCCGGCCTCAGCCAAACTGCAACAAAAAATAGCCAGGTGCTGTGGTGGGTGCCTCCCACCAGCTACTGGGGAAGTTGAGGCAAGGGAATTGCCTAAGCCAAGGAGTTGAAGGTTACTGTGAGCTGTGACACCACAGCATTTGACAGAGGGCAACAAAGTGAAACTCTGTCTCAAAAAAAAAAGAAAGAAAGAAAACATGAAATGAAGGTCAGGCATGGTGGCTCACGCCTGTAATCCTAGTACTTTGGAAGGCTGAGGCGGGTGGATGGCTTGAGCTCAGGAATTCAAGACCAGCCTGAGTAAGAGTGAGACCCCATCTCTACTAAAAATACAAAAAAAAATAGCTAGGTGTTGTGGCAGGCACTTGTTGTCCCAGCTACTCAGGAGGCTGAGGCAAGAGCATCACTTGAGCCCAAGAGTTTAAGGTTGCTGTGAGCTATGATTCTAGGGCAACAGAGTGAGACTCTGTCTCAAAAAAATAAAAATAAATTAATTAATTAAATAAAATACTAAAAGAAAATGAGTAAGCCAGAGCACCTCTCCTCACAGGGTCACTGAGAAGACTTAACATTTACATGTTTTTAGTAAAGCTCTTCACCTAGGGTCTGGCATAAAGTGTTCTATAAACAGAATTTGTCATTTATTTTGAAAGTAATCGGGGCCCCAGCCCAAGGCCCATAGTCTTTAACTCCTGTCTTTTCCCTTTCTTGCTGCACGCCCCCCCTCACCTCATCTCCCACAAGGAATTCGATGGTGTTGTATCTCTTTCTCTTCAGGAAGCCATTGATATTCATTTGGAACCTGGCAGCAGGCACAGGACAGGCACAGGTGAGGGTCCCAGTTTCAGTGGCTCCTACCCCAGCTCAAAGCCACCTCCCTTGTTTCCTCCTCTGGGTCTCCCCCAGGTTCCTTTAGGGATCTTGGATTAGGAATTCCTCCCAGTCTACCTCCTGCCCCAGCTTGGGAAAAGGTACCTTTTTTCTGGAATGAAGGGCCCCAGGCCATTGCTGTGGATGTGCACTTTCATGACCACACTGCCATTCTTGATGGGCATGGGTGTGTACCAGTTCATGACACACAGCTCCTCTGCCACGCATGGCTCTGCTGGTTGGCAGTGGGCACTGAGGCTGTTGGGGACTCCCAGTGCCCCCTCCAGGCCACGGACCACACTGGAATCTCCCTGTAATTCCCTATACCCATTTCCAGACCATAGATCCCACCATGTGAACCCATTTAGGCCATGGAAACTACTAAGACCTCCCTGTACCCTCCTCTGGTCATGGGCCTCATTGAGGCCCCCAGCACCCTCACCACCCTGCCAGGTGTGACTGTTACAGGCACCCCCCAATCCCACCTTTGCTGCGAAAAGGGGCTCCCTCCATCTGGATCTGCAGCTGCTCTATCTTCCAGCGATAGAAGTTGACTGGGGACTGGAAGGTGACCAGCACCAAGGGCTTGAGCCCTGTCAGGTAGCCCTTGCGTACCAGGTCCTCGGAGGGCTGAGGGTGAGACGGCCCCCCAGGTGTGTCCTTATGATAGCCTCTGGACACCTGCTACCTCGAGCCTTCCTCTGCTAGCCTATCTTCCTGGGCTGGGTAGGGAGAGCAAGTGCTCCACCTTGGGACAGTCAGAGGATGTGGTCTAAGTTTGGGACCCAGCTAGGGGTCAGGTCAGGTTAAGAGAGAGACAGAGGGCTGTGGAAGGAGTCAGAGGTCTTCCTGAAGGAGGTGACTCCAAAGCCAGGGACTTCAGACAGAGTGTGCACATGGGAAATGCACAGGCCAGGACAGCACACAATGGGCAAGAATGTGAAAATGGGAAGGAACGGGGCTCCTGGAACTGCTAGCAGCCTCTCTCCACTCCAAGGATACCGGGTCCCACTCTCAAGGTGGGCTTTCACCCTCCTTGCAGAAGACCCTCTGCCACCCCCACCAGTCAGAAAATAGCCACAGAGAGGGACTGGGCAGGTAGACAGAAAGGGATGTCAGAAGAGGGTGAGAGGGCATCACAGACAAGCTCCCAGAGAGGCAGGACTTGGCTGGGCACACAGGGAAGGGGAAGGAAAAGGAGGCTCCTGTTATGGACAGAGACCCAGAAGCAGCCCTGAGAGAAAGCTGCACTGAGGCCACTAAAGGGGGTGCAGGGTGGAGTGTGGGACCAGGGCAAGGGATTTAATGGGTACAACTACCTTTCATCCTGAGGGATGCCTTGGCCAAGGTCCTCCCAATCCTGCCAGCTACACCTGTCTTTGGCCCTGCCTCTGGGTTCCCAGTCATGGGGGACCAGACACTGGTGGGGTGGGGACCTTTTGCCATCCAGGGCAACAATGACTGCCGCCACCCTGGTTCAGTGCCCCTCATCTCCTGCCTGGGTGATGCAGCAGCCTCCTCACTGCCTCCCTGCTCCTGGCCTGCCTCCCACATGGCAGGGGGCAGCCTGTGAAGGCGTGAGGTAGGTCGCATCCCTCCTCTGCTCAGAGACTTCTCATGGCTGCATTTCACTCAGGGTAAAAACCAAGTCTTCACTACGGCCCACGAGGCCCTGAAAATCTTTCCCCATCATGTCCCTACCCTCTCTCCTCCCATGCTCCCTTTGGTTCAGGGAGCTTCACCCACACAGGCCTTTCCACAGTTCTTCTTACACGCTGACCTCTTTCCTGTCTCTGTGCCATTGTGCTGGCTGTTCCCCAGGCCTAGGATGCTTTGCCTGGCTGTGCTTACAGTTGCCCCTTTTCATTGTTTAGGTCTCTGCTCAAACCTCTTCAGAGAGACCTTCTCCAGCTACTACCACTAAAACAGTATCCTCCTCTTTCTAACATATCAACTCATTTTCATTTCCTCAGAAATTATTTTATACATTTACTTGCTAACTATCTACTTCCCTGGTAGACTGGATCCACAAGAAAAACCTGGCCCCCCCCCCTTTTTTTTTTTTAGAGACAGAGTCTCACTTTATCACCCTCAGTAAAGTGTCATGGCATCACAGCTCACAGCAACCTCCAACTCCTGGGCTTAGGTGATTCTCTTGCCCCAGCCTCCCGAGTAGCTGGGACTACAGGCACCCGACACGACACCCGGCCATTTCTTATTGCAGTTGCCACTGCTGTTTTTAGCTGGCCAGGGCTGGGTTCAAACCCACCACCCTCAGTTTTGGGGCCGGTGCCATATCCACTGAGTCACAGAAGTCGCCCCTTAGGTGATTCTCTTGTCTCGGCCTTCCGAGTAACTAGGACTACAGGGACCCACCACAACACTTGGCTGTTTTTGTTGTTGCAGTTTGGCCAGGGCGGGTTCGAACCTGCCATCCTTGGTATATGGGGCCAGCGCCCTACTCACTGAGACACAGGCGCTGCCCATGTGTTTATTTTTTGAAACCGAGTCTCATTTGCTCACCCTCAGGAGAATGCTATGGTGTTGTAGCTCACAGCAATCTGAAACTCTTGGGCTCAAGTGATCCTCCTGCCTCAGCCTCTTAAGTAGTTGGGACTACAGGTGCCCACCTGGCTATTTTTAGAGATGGGGTCTTGCTTTTGCTCAGGCTGATCTCAAACTCATGAGCTCAGTGGATCTACCTGCCCTCAACCTCCCAGAGTGCTAGGATTATAGGTGTGAGCCACCATGCCCTGTCCCCTGACCATTTCGTTCACATTGTATTGCCTACAACAGAAAGGGGGCCTGATTCATAGCAAGTGTTGAATGAATAGAAAAAAGTATTAATGGCTGAGCACAATGGCTCATGCCTGTAATCCTACCACTTGGGATTAGGTGGATTGCTTGAGTTCAAGAGTTCAAGACCAGCCTGAGCAAGAGCAAGATCCCCAACTCTAAAATAAAAAATACCTGGCTTGGCACTCATAGCATAGTGGTTATGGCACCAGCCATATACACCAAAGTTGGTGGGTTCAAACCCAGCCCAGGTCAGCTAAAACAACAATGACAACTGCAGCAAAAAGTAGCCAGGCGTTGTGGCGGGCACCTGTAGTCCCAGCTACTTGGGAGGCTGAGGTAAGAGGATCATTTGAGCTCAAGAGTTTGAGGTTGCTGTGAGAGATGACGCCACAGCACTCTACCAAGGGCAGCAAAGTAAGACTCTAAAAAAAAAAAAAAAAGACTCTATCTCTTAAAAAAAGCAAAAAAAAAGTGGCAATAACTCAATTATCTATCAATTGATGAGATAAAATGTGACACAACCATACGGTGGAATATTATTCAGCCATAAAAAGTAAGCACTGGGGCGGCTCCTGTGGCTCAAGGAGTAGAGTGCCGGTCCCATGTACCAGAGGTGGCAGGTTCAAACAAGGCCCCAGCCAAAAATTGAAAAAAAAAAATAATAAATAAAAATAGAAAAACTGAGGCAAGAGGACCACTTGAGCCCAGGAGTTGGAGGTTGCTGTGAGCTGTAATGTTATGGCACTGTACCCAGGGTGACAGCTTGAGGCTCTGACTCAAAAAAAAAAAAAATTAAAAAGTAAGTACTGTGGGAGCTAGGCACAGTGGCTCACACCTGTAATCCTAGCACTTTAGAAGGCTGAGGCAGGACGATTGCTTGAGGCTGGGAATTTGAGACTAGCACAGGCAACATAGTAAAATCGTTTCTCTACAAAAATAAAAACTCCTGGCGGGATCCAACATTACCATGACTGCCCTTGACAACCCTGCAGACCCCCTGCAGCCATGGCCATCAAAGGCTTGCAGGATCTTGCAACAGGTGAAGGAGACAACCCAGGAAGTGGTGACAGTAGCCAGAGCAAGTGGTAGATCGGGCCATAGGCTAGGTAGAAAGCCAGGGACCAAATGGCCAGCTTCCATCTAGGAACTATCCATCCACAAGACTACTAAACAAGCCTCCAACAACCTATCCAGGTTACTTGAGAAAATTAGGCTTCATGAAATGACAGAGGGCAATAAAGTGATGCCTCTACAGGCCTTGTGCAGTGGGGCCTGGCCCCAAGCTCTCTGTTTAGCAGCTTCCTCTTTGGTCTGCTCTTACATTAAAATCCATGTTCCAGGCTCAGCACCTGTGGCTCAAGTGGCTAAGGCGCCAGCCACATACACCTAAGGTGGTGGGTTCAAATCCAGCCCAGGCCCGCCAAACAACAATGATGGCTGCAACCAAAAAATGGCCAGGTGTTGTGGCAGATGCCTATGGTCCCAGCTACTTGGGAGGCAGAGGCAGGAGACTTGCTTGAGCCCAGGTGTTGGAGGTTGCTGTGAGCTGTAATGGCACAGCACTCTACCCAGGGGAACAGCTTGAGGCTCTGTCTCAAAAAAAAAAAAAAAATCCACGTTCCACAAAAAGGATTAAAAAATAAAATAAAACTAATTAGCTTGGCATAGTGGTGTGTGTGTGTGTGTAGTCCCAGCTACTTTGGAGGCTGAGGAAGGAGAATCACTTGAGCCAGAAATTTAAGGTTACAGTGAGCTATGATTAGGTCACTGCACTCCAGCCTCAGTAACAGAAAACCCTTTGTTTTCTTATGTTTTGTTTTATAGAGATTCAGTCTCATTCTATTGCTGCAGGCTGGTCTCAAACTCCTGAGTTCAAAAAATCCTCCTGTCTGTCTCGGGTTCCCAAAGTGCTGAGATTTTAGATGTGAACCTCAATGGCTGGCCTAAATAAATAAAGTACTGACGCATGCTACAACATACATGAGCCTTGAAAACATGCTAAGTGAAAGAAGCTAGTCACAAAAAGCCACATATTATATGATTCCACGTAAATGAAATGTTCAGAATAGGTAAATTCATGAGGACAGAAAGTAGATTCGTGGTCTCCACGGATTGAAGGGAGGGGGGAATGGAATGGGGAGTGACTGCTAATGGATACAGGGTTTGAGGATGAGAAACATGTGCTGGGATGAACAAAACAGTAGTGACGGTGGCACAACTTTGTAAATATACTAAAACGAACTGTACACTTTTAAAATGGTGACTTTATGGTGTGTAAATATATCTCTATAAAAATATGGCAAAAATAAAACTTACTTGAACATCTACTAGGTGCCTTGTGGGGTGTTGCAAACTGTACATAGATAATCTTCTTGAACCCTTAAAGCCCCCAGATTGGACGGGGGCTTTAAAATGTTAAATGGATGGGGAAACTGACGCTCAAAGAATGAGCCCATCCATGATGCACAGACTCACCTGTCCCTTGCAGGAGTAGTTGATCTTCAGGTAGTAAGGAAAGCCCAGGTATTTCTGCAAGGAGAAGTTGGGTAAAATGTCCAGAGAGAGATTAGTGAGGTGTGGGTTTAGGAACCCTGTGGTTCACTTGACTCTGGGCTCCTCACCTCGAGCTGATCAATGGGTGAGTCCACCAGCATTTGGATCACTTGGTCCACTGTATCCACAGGCTCTTGAACAAAGAACCGGTCGCTCACGCCATTTGCACCTATTCTATCAAACTCGTTCAGGACAACCTCCCAGGTGCAATCTTGGATTTCCTGGACTGCCCACAGCCTCCACGGAGTCCACAGCACCACCATCAGTGCCCACAGCACCCGAAGGACTTGGACTCTTGCAGGCCCAACAAGGGACATGGCTGGGCCGCGCACAACGTGGCTAGAACCTGGAGAATGCGGGGATCAACACCACCAGGCAGGAGAACTCTTCGGAGCCGACTTCTGAAATCCCACCTCGCTTTTGCGCCTCCCACCACCTTTGAGCCTCCCACCACCTTTGCAGTCCACACTGCCTCTGCTCCGGCTTCTGCCCCGGCCCCTGCTCCTGACCCTGCGTAGGCTCTGGCTTCTGCCCCCGCCTCTGGCCCCGCCTCTGCTCAGGCTTCTGTCCGCGCTTCTACGCCTGGCCTCACCCCTGCTCTTGCTTCTGGTCCTGTCCCTGGCTCCGCGCCTACTTTTGCTGCAGGATACTCCCCTGCCCCTCTTGTGGATCCCACCTCTGCTATTACTCTGGGCCAAACCCCGACTGATGCTTCTGGCTACAGCCTGGCTTCTGCGCTTCGTTTCGTACCGCTTCCTCGTCTCTCCCCTTAACTTTGCCCCGCTCTTGCTCCTGGCTTCGTCTCCTCTCTGTAGTCCACCCTTATTCTTTATCCTCTCTAGGTTTCTGTTTCTCCCTTTGGCATTGCCCTTCTTACTTCCCCCTGTCCTGTCCCTGCCTGCGATCGCATCCTTGTGCTTCGACCTACCTCCGCCCCCACTTCTTGCCTTGTCCCCCCACTTGTCTTCGTACCGCCCCTTTCTCCTCGCTTTGGCTTTGCCGAGGACCCGGGTTCTATGCCTTGTCTCGCTTTTCTCCAGGTCCTTGTCGTGGGCCTTACCCACGTCTTTCCCTTTTTCATGTCTTCGTCCTTGTTTCTTTCTTAGGGCTTTCTCCTCAACCTGTGTCCCCTCCTTGCTCCGCCCTTGCTTCTTGTCAAGCCCCTGCTCTGCCTCTCCCTTCTTATCAACCCGCCCTTTCCCCTGCCCCTTGGTGAGCAGCTCCTCTCCAGCTGGCTCCTCTCCAGCTGGCTCCTCTCCCTGCCCCCTCTTCTGGCCCTGTCCGGGCTCTTCGACCCGCCCCTTGTCGTTAGGGACCGTCTCTTCGCCTTTGGATTTCTCTTGGCCATTGGCTTTCTTAACGCCACACGACCTCGCCTCACCTTTCTGTCTCTCCTCGCCCCGTGCCCTCTCTTCGCCTCGCACCTCCTCGTTCCATGCTGGCGCTACCTTCTTGGTGGATTCGTTCTCGACCCTCACCTTCCGCTCAAGCTGCAACATCTTGTCAACTTCCCTCTTCTCACCCTTTCTGTCCATGCACTTGACACTTACCTGCTCTAGGCCCCGCCTCTTCTAGTACCGCCCCTACTCATTGTCCCGCTTCTTAACTGCTACCTGCCCTTTGCCCGACTCTTTCCCTCCTGTCTCTCCCTTTCCCACTCCTGCCAGGTCCCACGACTCTCCTCTTTTTCTCTGCCTCTCCACTTTTTTCCCCTCCCCCTCCCCTCCCCTCCGCAACCCCTCCCCTCCCACCCCCCGGATGACACCGCCCTCTTCTCCTTGCCCCGCGGTACCAGTTCACTTGGTTAAAACCGGTCAACCGTCGCTCGGCCTCACCAGTCCCGCCCCTCTTGCCCGTTCTCAAAATGGCCGCCTACACTTCCGCCAGTGCCTTCTGCCCTTCCTGAGGCTCGCCTTCCTCGCGCCCCTGTCTCCACGGTAACGGGCATCCGCCACCGGCGCACTGAGCTTAGAGGCAGAGGAGGCGGGCTTTGAAACTGAAGGGCCAAGGCGCGCGGGGCCTTGGCCGTGGCCGGCAGAGGGCGATGGACTCAAAGTTTGTGCTAGGATGGCCTTTAACGAGTTCCTGTTGGTGGTTCTGGCAGTCCACACCGCCCTTACCTGTAGTTCTTTTACTCCAAAATCCTATTCCTTAAAAAAGAGTTTAGCTTCTTACAGACCTTGTGGGAATAAATCAATTTGCGGCTTAACACCGGCTCTACAAAGCGTGGACAAGGGCAGCCATCCTAGTAGGATAACACGTGAAGATAGAAGCAAGAGTCCAGAACTCCAACCATGATTTTTTTTTTTTTTTGAGACAGGGTCTCTCAATATCACCCAGAGAGGTCAGTCCATGAATTTTTGATTACCTGCAAAGCTGGCTTTTAACCCGGCTGAGGCAAGAGGATCTCTTGAGCCCAGGAGTTTGAGGTTGTTGTAAGCTATGACACCACAGCACTCTACCAAGGGCAACAGAGTAAGTCTCAAAACAAAAACAAACAAACAAACAAAAAACAGATATGTGTATGAGACCTACTTGTGTGTCTCTGGAACGATCCCTGAATTACATAGTATTGGTGATAAAAGCAAGGCACAGAAATGAGAGTAATAAATGGCCAACATTTTATTACCTGCCAGACACTGTTTTAAGGGCTCTTGGCTCGGCGCCTGTGGCTCAAGCGGCTAAGACGCCAGCCACATACACCTAAGGTGGCGGGTTCGAATCCCCAGCCCGGGCCCGCCAAACAACAATGATGGCTGCAACCAAAAAATGGCCGGGCGTTGTGGCGGGCGCCTGTAGTCCCAGCTACTTGGGAGGCTGAGGCAGGAGACTCGCTTGAGCCCAGGAGTTGGAGGTTGCTGTGAGCGTGATGCCATGGCACTCTACCCAGGGGGATAGCTTGAGGCTCCGTCTCAAAAAAAAAAAGGGCTATACAGGTATGAAGGTGCTTGCTTCTCTAACAAGTCCATGAGGTAGGTGTTGTTATCATCTATCATCCCTTTTTTATTGTTGTTGCAGTTTTTGGCCCGGGCTGGGTTTGAACCTACCACCTCTGGTATATGGGGCTGGCGGCCTATTCCTTGAGCCACAGGCGCTGCCCTATCATCCCATTTTACAAAGGAGCAAACTGAGGCACAGGGAGGTGAAATCACTTGCCCAAAGCCACATAACTTGGGATTGACAGAGTTCAGATTTATATCCAGATTTATATCCATTTATTTCCTCCAATGTCTGCCATCATAACTACTTCAGCATACTAGGCACCACTTGTTTAGAGTGCAAAATAAATCACACACACCCGCATATTGCTGGTACACACACTGACTATGCCTGTGAGCCTGAATGTAGGAGAAACATTTTTGACTGTACAGTCTTTTGTGCCTGATGTACTTTTTTTTTTTAATGTTTTGAACTGAAAAGGACCTAATTTTTCTTCTAGAGGAATTTGGAAGAAGCAGTGAGAAGTGAAGACAAATCACATAGGCACCTCCCTCAGGAAGATGAGAAACATGGTGAGGGGGGAAGCATCAGCGTCCTCACCCCATGCTGACTTAACACAAGGTTGACAATGACCTCAATAAAGAGGGCCGAGAGGCTAAGGAAATACTAGACAGCCCCCACGGGAAAAGGTGACCAACCAAAACCTTGTTCAAATCCCAGTTTTGCACTTTCTGTGTGACTATGGGCAAGTTGTTTAACTTCTCTGGGGTTCCTTTCCTCTTTTTTAAAATACAGAGAATGTATCCAAGGGCCTAGAACAGTGCCTGGCACATAGTAAATCTCATATAAGTATTTTCTATCACTGTTATAAAAATAATCTTGTTTGACTAACCTTTTTTTTTTTTTTTTTTTTTGAGACAGAGCCTCAAGCTGTCCCCCTGGGTAGAGTGCCGTGGCATTACAGATCACAGCATCCTCCAACTCCTGGGCTCAAGCGAGTCTCCTGCCTCCGCCTCCCAAGTAGCTGGGACCACAGGCGCCGGCCACAATGCCCGGCTATTTTTTGGTTGCAGCCGTCATTGTTGTTTGGCGGGTCCGGGCTGGGGATTCGAACCCGCCACCTTAGGTGTACGTGGCTGGCACCTTAGCCGGTTGAGCTATAGGCGCCGAGCTGACTAACCTTTAAAAAACAATCTCCTGTGACTTTTTTAGCATGATTTGACCATGTCTATTTCTCCCTCCATAAATTCTCTCTTCTCTTCCCAATACCCTTCACTCTCCTGGCTTTCCAATTCCTCCCCCAACCCTTTTCTGTCTCCTTTGGTAAGCTCTTTTCTCAAGCATCAGGACATTGGTTGCAGGGTCACTGCTTACACTAGAAATTATCATGTCTGGCTATGATGCCTAGACCTGTGGCAGCCACTCTGTGACCACCAGGGGAGCTCACTTAGGAACCAAGCCTTACTGAAGGCACTAGAGCAGAGAAAGCCGGATCTGGGGTCACAGACCCTCTCATAACTATGGATGGAATCACTCCCAAGCTCTCCCTTACTCTGGTGAAGTACAATGTAACAATCATCCTGTTTCATCCTGTGGCAGTCATGGTTTTGTTACCTACAGTCAAAAATTCTTCTGATATAAACATGTAAATACCCTCAGACTCCTTATTCCTGGTGGTCTTCTCTCTTCAGTCCCTCCCAGGGCTGCCATACCACACTCATGGCTTCAGTCTCCATCTCTGCCTCCAGCCTTAACCACCACCACCCCCAGCCCCAGCCCTGGAGGTCCTGGGACTTCTCAATACCTCCCCTGGGGTGGTGTCCCTTTAGCCCCTCACACTTATCATATTCTAAACTAGTATCAGTATCTCCCCTCAGACCTGCTTTTCCTCCCAGGTCCCCATTTCAGGGACAACAGACCATTCCTCATCCTTCCCCAGTCTTAATACCTATGGCCTATCCACTTGGCTCCTCAGAATCCTTGCACTTGCCTCTCTCCCCTCCCATGGTCCTGCCTAGTTCTGTCGTCTCCTCCTTTGTTCTTGCCCCAGCCTCCCACTCTGGTCTACTTCCACAGGGCAACTGGGGGATTGTCCTAAAGCCTGAATCTACCCTTGACCCTTCCTGCTCAGAACTCTTCCATAGGCTGGGTACAGTGGCTCATTCCTGTAATCCTAGCACTCTGGGAGGCCAAGGTGGGAGGATCGCTTGAGCTCAGGAGTTTGAGACTAGCCCGAGCAAGAGTGAGACCCCATCTACTAAAAACAGAAAAATTATCAGGGTGTGGTGATAGGCCCCTAGGGTCCCAGCTACTCAAGAAGCTGAGGCAGGAAAATTATTTGACTCCAGGAGTTTGAGGTTGCTATGAGCTATGAGACCACTTCATTCACTGCACTCTACCCAAGGCAACAGGGTGAGACTCTGTCTCAAAAAAAAAAAAAGAAGAAGAAGAAAAAGAGCCCTTCCACAGCTCTCTAATGCACTCAGGAAAGAGGCCAAGTTCCCAAGGTTATCATTTAAGGGCACTAAGGTGTGGTGACATCTACCCCTCTACCCTCCTGCCCCTTCTACTCCATACTCCTGTCCTGTCACAGTAAACTGCTTGCTAGAGGCTGATGTCCAGTATGCTTTCCCACCTTGGGGCCTTTCCCCACAGTTCCTTCTGCCTGGCATGCCCTCTCCATGCCTCTCCTGTCTGTCATCAAGGTGCAGCTCCACTGCCCCCATCCCTTGTGTAACCTCCACGCCGCGTGGTGGAGAGGAGTTCAGCCTTGATAGGGAGGCTGATACTGAGGTCTCTTCATTTACTTCCTTGGTCTGTGGCTAAAACAAGGGGCCTCCCTTCTCTGTGCCTCAGTTTCCTCATCTGTAGAACGGGGATGATTAATATTATCTCCCTCATATATAAAGTACCCAGAAGAGGGCCTGGCCAAAGACATCATCACAGAATAACACTGCAGGGTCTGTGAAGGCATCATTTGAAGAAGTCCTGTGATGACCACCATGTTAGAGAAGAAGGAAGGAGCCGGAGAGGTAGAGTCAATGCTCAAGGCAGGACATGGCTGAGTTGGAATTTGAGGCCAAGCAGACCGGGTCTACAGCCTGGTACAGACATCCAATTAGTGCTAAGAGCAGCACCTCCCAGGCAATTCAGATTTGGGCTGGTGACTTGTGTCAGTTTCCTACCTGCTGAGCTACTGTGGAAGATTCTACCACCCAGGCCTCCCTCAAGGCTCTTCCAACAGGTCCTGCTCCCTGGAGACACTTGAGAAAAATGAGGCAGGTACAATTTCTTCCCCTGACTACTCTCACATTTCTGGTCTTAGTTCAGTTGCCCCTTCCTTCAGGAAGCCCTCCCTGACCTTCCAGGCTGGATTGGGCACATGCCTTGTGCCTCCCCCACCTTAGCCCTGACCACTCTGCCTGTGCTTTCTCCATCACACCTCTGATCACTCTGCCTCCCCCTTTGGAGTCCTGGTCGTTAGGGGCTAACACTGTCTGGGGACAGGTCTGTCTACCTCACTGGACTGCTAGCCCTGTAAGGGACACAGCTCAGGGCCATCTCCACTCTGCACTGTCTAGCAAAGGGCCAGCTAAAAAGAGGGATTTGGGGATGAATGAATATATTCTTTCCACTTGACAGCTGAGGACATCAAAGCTAAAGGAGGGGCAGTCACTTGTCCAGGATGTGGTGGCCTATCTAGTGTCTGAAATGAGGTCTGAGCCCAGAGCCTGGTAAAACTGGCAGGTGGCGAGTGGCTGAGTGAGAGACAGATGGAATGTGACAGAGAATGATAAACAGGGAGGCCAGGTGCAGTGGCTCACACCTATAATCCTAGCACTCAGGGAGGCCGACACAGGTAGATTGCTTGAACTTACAAGTTCGAGACCAATCTGAGCAAAAGCGAGACCCTGTCTCAACTAAAATCAAAAAAACTGAGGTAAGAGGATCCTTGAGCCCAAAAGTTGGAGGTTGCTGTAAGCTATGACACCATGGCACTCTACCCAGGGGCAACAGCTTGAGACCGAGACCGTCTCCAAAAAAAAAAAAAAGAGAGAGAGAAATAGGGAAACAGTAAGAGGGAGAGATAGAGAAGGCAAGAAAATCAGAGATGTACAGAGTGTGATGGAGAATAAGAGAAAGGGAAGGAGCAAAACAAGGTAATGTTGAAGCCCAGTGGAGCCCAGGACACAGCAATAAGAAGTGCTGTCCCCTGGCATTGCAGCTGGGGCTGTAAAACAAAGGGCGGACAGTTGGTGGCCACACCTCAGAACACCTGCTTGGGCTCAGCGCCTGTGGCTCAAGTGGCTAAGGCGCCAGCCACATACACCTAAGGTGGCGGGTTCGAATCCAGCCCAGGCCCACCAAAACAACAATGACGGCTGCAACCAAAAAATAGCCGGGCATTGTGGCAGGCACCTGTGGTCCTTAGCTACTTGGGAGGCTGAGGCAAGAGACTCGCTTGAGCCCAGGAGTTGGAGGTTGCTGTGAGTTGTGATGTCACAGCACTCTACCCAGGGGAACAGCTTGAGGCTCTGTCTCAAAAAAAAAAAAAAAAAAAAAGAGAACACCTGCTTGTACACCCAGATGTTCCTACAGGATCAGCTCTCATCACATGGCTCTTCAGTCCCAGGCCAGGTCCCTCCAGCCTCATGGCACCTGCCCCAGCTACCTGGGGATGGAGGCATAGTCAGTGTAGGAGCTGGCAGAGAGTTGCTGGTGTGACTCCAGCTGGGGACCCAGAATGTCCACGCGATCGTCTTCATTCTCAGTGAAGCTAGCAGGGCATGGAGCGGGCAGCAGGATGAACTCGGTGAGGCCATGAAGGTCGGACACGTGGTGGAAAGTCTGCAATAGCAGCACCATGGCAACCAGGCCCAGGAAGAGGTAGACTGCAGAGGTGGGGGAGGATGATGAGTTGACTTGGGGCTCAGATCCTCAGGGAAGAACCCCTTTTGGAATCCCTGGGGTGGGGCTGGGACTGGGCCATGTCCTCCTCAAGCCATTGCCCTCCAGTAACCAGCTCACCTGTGACCAGCACCTTGTAGAGGGCCCGGTAGGACTGGTTGGGGGCCTCCCCAGGCACGTAGTCCCCCAGGCCGATGGTGGACAAAGAGATGAAGCAGAAGTAGAAGGCATCCAGGAAGCTCCAGGCCTCCTCAAGGTGGGCGAAGATTGCAGCCGGCACCAGGAAGCAAACGATCACTATGACCCCCAGCAGAGCCACCATGTGCCAGCGGGCTGCCCGCCGGGGGTCCCAGCCCCATCGTATTCTCAGCCAAGAAAGGGGCATGTGGGTCAACAGCAGTGACAAGCGCTGGGCTGAGGCTGTCAGCAACAGCATGGTGGTCGGCACACCCAGCAGTGCAAAGGCGATGGAGAAGGCCTTACCCGCATCTGTCAGCGGCGTCGTGTACCCATAGCCTGCAAAGCACAGGGGAGATGCTTCTGCCCATTCAAAACCTCCACTGGGGTGTATATGGACACCCCAAACCAAGACTGAAACTTCCCTCCCCCACATTCTCTCCTGTCCCCAGTGATGGCACCCCACCCTCCCACTGCTCAAGCTAAGATCCTTGCTTTCATCCTCAACCCCCAGATCATGCAGGCCACTTTCCATCTGTCAAGTGAAGCCTAGTGTCTCGACCTCATTGGTTCCAGAACCCACCCACTTCCCACCCTGTTTCACAGCCCTGACCGTGGTCCTGTCCACTGCAGGAGAGAGGCCTGAGTTTTGCTGACAGTTAAACATCTTGCAGCCTCATCTCTGATGCTCTTCTCCCTTGACCCCAGCCCTAAGACTGTTCAGTCAGAACTGGGAGCCTGTGATGGATGAGTTCCCCTGTCATCTCTCCTATGCGTCTTTATCCAAATGCCACCTTCTCAGTGAGGCCTTCCCTGATTGCCTTGCAGACATTCCCTGAGTTACAAATATCCGACTTATGTACAACTCGCACTTATGAACAAGGACAATGACAGGTAATGGGTCAATATGCCTATTCCAATTTACATACAAATTCAACTTAAGAACAAACCTACAGGTTTGGCACCTATAGCTTAAGTAGCTAAGGCGCCAGCCACATACACCAGAGCTGGTGGGTTCGAATCCAGCCGGAGCCTGCCAAACAACAATAACAACTACAACTAAAAAAAAAAAAAAAAATAGCTGCGCATTGTGGCGGGTGCCTGTAGTCCCAGCTACTTGGGACGCTGAGGCAAAAGAATTGCTTAAGCCCAGGAGTTTGAGGTTGCTGTGAGCTGTGAAGGCATAGCACTCTATCCAGGGCAACAGATTGAGGTTGTCTCAAAAAAAAAAAAAAAAGAACAAACCTACAGAACCTATCTCATTTGTAACTGGGGACTGTCTGTACATATTTTAAATTATAATGCCCTCTTGCCCAGCTCTTTTTTTTTTCCCATAGCATGTAACACCTAGAATACTACATGGTTTACTTATTTGGTTACTTCTCCACCCCTTTTTCCTGGGTGTCAGTTCCAGGAAAGCAGGGGATTCTATTTTGTCACTGTTGTGGGCATCGATCACGTGGACACTTGATCCATACTTGTTTTTTTGTTTGTTTTGTTTTTTGAGACAGAGTCTTACTTTGTTCCCCTCGGTAGAGTGCTGTGGCGTCACAGCAACCTCAAACTCTTGGGCTCAAGAGACTCTTTTGCTTCAGCCTCCTGAGTAGCTGGAACTATAGGTGCCTGCCACAACACCTGGCTAATTTTTCTATTTTTAGTAGTGATAGGGTCTCACTCTTGCTCAAGCTGGTCTGGGAATCCTAAACCCAAGCAATTCACCTGCCTCAGCCTCCCAAAGTGCTAGGATTATAGATGTGAGCCGCTGGACCCAGCTTGATCAATACTTGTCAAAATAATGAAGGGCACGGGTTTTCACCTGACTTTGAGCCTCAGTTTACTCTACACTAAAACAGGTGTGACAAGCGCTGCTGGGTTCCCAGAGGACCACGGGAACACAGTAAGTTAAGTGGGGATGTGAATTCTGCCAACAGAAGTAAGATCAAGGGGAACTCAGGTGTTGGTGGGACTGACTCATTTTGGCAAAGTAAAATTTAAAAATCTCTTTTTATTTCCCCAATAAATCAAACCAAAGGATCAGAGATATGACTAGGGTAGTAGGAGGGGATCTGGTTTATGGTGACAGTTAAATGTCTTGCCCCAAACACTGCAGACCCAGCCCTGTGATCCATATAAAATGTGGACACATTGTACATGTGCACACGTATACCACACACATGGTGGAGCAGGCATTCTCCTGGGCCTGTTTTCCATAAAAAAGGATCGCTGTTTTTTATAAACTCAATAGAATCTGAACCAGGGTCTCAAAGAGATATCTACACTCATGTTCATAGCAACATTCTTCACAATAAGCTAGTATGCGGAAGCAGCCCAAGTTTCCATCTACAGATTAATGGATAACCAAACTGTGGTAAATGCATACAATGGGACATTATTCAGCCTTTTTTTTTTTCACATGAGACAAGAGTTTCACTTGGTCACCCTTGGTAGAGTGCTGTGGCGTCTAAGCTCACAGCAACTCAAACTCCTGGGTTCAAATGATTCTCTTGACTCAGCCTCCTAAGTAGCTGGGACTACAGGAGCCCGCCACAATGCCCAGCTATTTTTTGTGTTGTTTTGTTTTGTTTTTGTAGAGACAGAATCTCACTTTATCACCCTCAGTAGAGTGCTGTGGCATCACACAGCTCACAGCAACCTCCAACTCCTGGACTTAGGCGATTCTGCCTCAGCCTCCCAAATAGCTGGGACTACAGACGCCCACCACAATGCCCGGCTATTTTTTTGTTGCAGTTTGGCTGGGGCCAGGTTTGAACCTGCCACCCTTGGTATATGGGGCTGGCCCCCTCCTCATTGAGCCGCAGGCGCTGCCCAATGCCCAGCTATTTTTTAGAGACAGGGTCTCACTCTGGCTCAGGCTGGTCTCGAATCTGTGAGCTCGGGCAATCCACCCGCCTCAGCCTCCCAGGTACAGGTGTGAGCCACCTCACCTGGCCCTATTCAGCCTTTAAAAGGAAGGAAATTCCTTTCTCATTCTGTCCAGTAAGGTATACAAGAAAGAATCAAGCCACTTCTAGTAAGGGTCCTCAAAAACAGAGGGATGCTCATCTTCTTTCTTTCCACCCTCCTCCTGCTGGCTGGAAACAGACGTGAAGGCTGGAATTGAGCAGCTACCTTGAACCATTCGGTGACCTTGGGAATGGAAACTGCACAGAGGAATTATGGAGAATGAGGTTTTTGCCAACAAGGAGCCTGGCTCTCTGACCGTGCAGCACCATTTGAGCCTTCTTGAATGTGAGCAAGAAATAAATATCCATCTTATTTAAGCAACTGTAATTTGAGGTGTATCATTTATGATTCCAATGCTCATTAATACTAGGGTTTTTATTTTTTGTTTTTTTCTATCTTGAGGCAGACTCTCCCTCTGTTGTCTAGGCTAGAGTGCCATGGCATCAGCCTAGCTCACAGCAACATCAAACTCCTGGGCTTAAGCGATTCTCTTGCCTCAGCCTTCCCAGTAGCTGGGACTACAAGAGCCCACCACAACACCTGGCTTAATTTTTCTATGTTCAGTAGAGGTGGGGTCTCCCTCTTGTACAGGCTGGTCTTGAACTTCTGAGCTCAAGGGATCCTCCCACCTCAGCCTCCCCAAGGGCTAGGATTACAGGCAGGAGCCACCTTGCCTGACCTAATAGGAGTGTTTTGATAGAGAAACGCCAGCAGCCTAGCTGAAACTGTTTGCAAATGGCACAAAATCCTCATAAACAGAAAAATTACAGAATTAGAACAAAATGGTGCCTGTGAGCCTCAGTTTACTACTTCAGATAGCCGAGTCCAAAATAAGTGCCATTTATTCCCTGCATAACTTTGTCCAAGTGACTGCTCTCTGAGCCTCAGTTTTCTACTTTGAAAAAATGGACTAATAAGGCTAAGTGCAATAACTCATGCCTGTATTCCCAGCACTCTGGGAGGCTGAAGCGGGCAGATTGCTTGAGCTCAGGAGTTCCAGACCAGCCTGAGCAACAGCAAGACCCCACCTTTACTAAAAATATAAAAAAAATAGCTGGACATAATGGCAGGCATGTGTAGTCCCAGCTACTTGGGGGGTGCTGAGGCAAGAGGATTGCTTAAGCCCAAGAATTTGAGGTTGCTGTATAATGACGCCACAGCACTACCCAAGGCGACAGAGTGGAACCCTGTTTCAAAAAATAAAGGTGGGTGCTCATAAATAGCAATTTCCTCAAACGTGGTAGTACTCCTGCCAGGTTGGGACAAGAAATAGCACCTCGCAAGAGTATAGGAAGAGGCTCGGCGCCTGTGGCTCAAGCGGCTAAGGCGCCAGCCACATACACC